TGATGAGAAGGGTCACCTGATCTGTCAGAGTGGAGACGTACTAAGTGCAAGATGTATAGAATATTCTTCAAAATTTATTAACGTTTCAGATAGCATAAGTTCTTTTAGCATAAGATGGGAGGGGGCTTTGGAAGTCTTTTCTTTCTGTCTTGACTTTTTTTGTTTGGGGGTGGGGATTGTTATTCTTTTTCTGTAGAACTTAAATCTATTTCTTTTTTCCCCTTCTTTTTTTCCGCCCCCAAGAAAGAGTAAAGTAAGTTAATGAACCTACTGAAATGAAATCCCTGTAAATGTAGCTTGATGAGAGTTGTCCAACATCATCTCTCAAACTGGATATTTACAATTTAAAGCAGCATAGTCTAGAATAGCTTCAGTGATAGTACTCAGTCTTTTTGTTTATTTTTGTTTGTTTGCTTGGGTTTTTTAAATAGTTGAGTAACTTCACAACTTCTATGTTCCTTATAGATGAGATTGTTGCTACTTTGGGTCAAGGTACTTTTGGGAAAGTAGTGGAATGCATTGATCACAGAGCGTAAGTCTTCGATCAGAAATACGTAGAGTTTTTCTTACCGATAGTCTCACAGTGTGTGTGGTCACAGAGTGCTTTCTGATGGTATCAGGTTTTATCATAATGCTGCTCAGTGTATTTCTGTAAGGCTGCCGCAGTTCCCAAAGATGAATTTATGTTAGTACGTCATGCTAACAACAGCACCTAGACGTAAGGGCTATGCGGGACAGGTGGGTGAGGGATGAGGTGATGGGTGCGTCTTCTGCAGGCACACCCAGCCTGGTAGAGGCCAAGGGCTGATGGGGGGAGGAGGCCTAGACAATGTGGGGTGAAGCTGCACCCCCTTACACTGGGCAGTCCTGCGGCCTGTACCCTGGATCTGTATAACGAGTAAGGTCTCTGACATCACATAGCTTACCTTGAAGTACCACCTGTGATGCTGCAATGCCACTTGGGTTCTAGCAGTGAGTATATGATAAATGAAGAACGTATTTTGTGTTTGATGGCAGTTTTGCTGTGTGCAAAATAGTACGAAATGAGATTGTCTTTCTAGTCACTGTAGAAGGCATTTGAGACCTCGGTTACGTCTTTACTACTTAAACGACTGAAGGCGGCTTCTCATTTTTGACTGTCAGTCCGTTAGGCTTCCAAAGGGGAGGTAAACGGGGGATCACCTAACCTTGAAGAATAATACCAATATACACGGTATCAAGTATATTTTCAACATGTAAAGATTAAATTTTAATTGTCTTTGTGCATAGACGAATCTTGGTTATATTACGTCAGTATGTCAGCCTTCTGGCTAAGATCAAGTGTAGTATCTGTGATAAGATTGCCATTGTTACAATGTACGTGGTGGTAATTACTGAATATTATTAGTTAAAACTGCTCACTGTTCTAATCCCTGTTAAAACCTGTCTTTTCAGGGAAGGCAGACATGTAGCTGTGAAAATAGTAAAAAATGTTCAGAGGTACTCTGAAGAAGCTCATGAAGAAATACGAGTACTGGAACATTTAAACGCATTGGATCCCAGCAGTACTTAGTAAGTCTACAAAGCCGACTGTCCTTTGTTTTGGCTTTAAGATTTCTGTGACATCGCTTTCGGCAACATAGACGTAGGTATTGCGGCGTTATACAACTTCCTGTTGCAGTTAATGTATTTTCCTGCTTTTGCAGTCGCTGTGTCCAGATGTTAGAATGGTTTGAGTACCACGGACATGTCTGCATTGTTTTTGAGGTCCTGGGGCTCAGCACCTATGACTTCATTAAAGAGAATGGCTTTCTGCCATTGAGACTGGACCACATCAGACGGATGGCGTATCAGATCTGCAAATCTGTGAACTGTAAGTGTGTTTCTTTTTTTTGCTCTATTTGTTAAATTTTCTTTGCTGAATTTGCCAACTGTATTTGTTACCTTGCAGTTTTGCATTTGAACAAGCTGACACATACGGACCTCAAACCAGAAAATATTTTATTCGTGACATCCGACTACATAGAAGAGTATAACCCCAAACTGGTAAGTTGCTGCCCTCTTCCCCACCTCCCCCTCAGCCATACTCTGGCTTTATTTGGTCGCTTGCATCCCACCGTGTCTCTTTTCAGAAATGCACTGAACACACACTAAAAAATCCAGACATCAAAGTTGTGGACTTTGGGAGCGCAACCTATGACGATGAGTACCACAGCACTTTGGTGTCTACAAGATATTACAGAGCTCCTGAAGTTATCCTAGGTCAGTAGAAGCCTGGTAGGCTGACATTTTGCATAAGACTTTCTGTATGCTCTTGAACTGTGCTACAGCAGCATTGCGTATACGGATTGAGCTGTTGAACCGTTTGCAGTCTGGTATAAACATGAACCTTCTGAATCTTTTCACAGCACTGGGATGGTCACAACCATGTGATGTTTGGAGCATAGGATGCATTTTCCTAGAGTATTACCTTGGATTCACAGTATTTCAGGTAAGTAACTATGAACCACAGAATGATACAGCGTGTATAATGCTCCTCAGCTTGGTGAAAATATGCTACAGAGAGGGGAATGGTCTGTGCAAGCAATTAAGCTGCATTTCTCTGTAACGCCAAGTTGAAAAGAACAGAAGATGGAGGCACAAAGGAACTTTCTCAGCAGCAGATTTTTGCAAGTTGCTTTCAGTAACCATTTTGGCAGCAGCTTGATAGGAAGGATCACCCTGTTAATGTGTAATTTACAAGTCACACCACTAATGATGTAGCTTCATCTATCACCAGCAGTAAATGCTACTCAAATACCTGAATTCTGTCATCTTGACAGTATTGCCGATACAAATTTCTGAAGAAAGAGAAAATAAGGGAGGGTCAAAGGGAAAAACCAGTCCATTGTAACTTACTTCAGGGAACAGATGACTGCAGCCTCTCTTTTTCCTTAATCAATTACTGGTTGCAAGGTACAGTCAAAAATGAAGTAAGGTTAGTGCGTGGTTCTTGAGAACTTCTTCTAACAATGAACAAAAATGTCCATCTTTATTTCCCTCCAGACCCATAACAACAAAGAACACCTGGCCATGATGGAGCGAATACTGGGCCCTTTGCCACATCACATGATAAAGAAAACCAGGTAATTACACTTTTCCATACCTGGACTGCTATAGTTTAAGTATTTTTAAATTTGGTTTAACAGCAAATTCTTAAAAAAAGTTGAATAAACTCCAGTTCGTCCTTCTGCTGTATTTAACAAGCTGGCCATGCTTACGGAATATGCCCAGATCAGTTCCCAAGTTGTAAACAAACACCCTGATCAGCTTCTAGGGAAGGGACAAAACAATCTTTGAATAACAAACTGTGGTCTGTTTGTTTAAGGAAACGCAAATATTTCCATAATGACCAGCTGGATTGGGATGAACGCAGTTCTGCTGGTAGATACGTCTCAAGGCACTGTAAGCCGCTGAGGGTAAGATGACACAGGGGAAATGCTTTTGGGGAGAGGAGCTTTAAGTGCAATTATGAGATTAAAAAACCCCCGTGTTTTGTTGTTTTCTTCATGAAGGAATTCATGACCTGCCACGATTCTGACCACGAGAACCTCTTTGACCTCCTTCAAAAGATGCTGGAGTACGACCCAGCCAAGCGCATTACTCTCGAAGAAGCACTGAAACATCCTTTCTTCTTCCCCTTGAAAGAGGAAAAAAGGGCGCTGTCGCCTGTAGCTGAGCAGGCTGAGGCAGATGTCAGTCCACCAAAGAAACGTAAAAGACGCTGAATACTTACTGTGTACAGTTATTTTGTAAATGCCTTATTTTGTATTATGACTTTTTGTATACTGAAGTTTAATCTAGCTGCTGGCATAAAACTTATTTAAGAAAAAGATACTGATGAACCTGGTTGCATTTCCTCAGTAAATAAAAATTTGGGGACACTTGCACTTTTAACAGATGGAAAAGAGCACCCTCTCTAACAGCAAGAAAGTTGTTATTTTAATTATGCTTTATGCCACTGTCACAGCAAATGACCTGGGACTGATTTTTACTCGAGTGTCACTGATGCTTCCTTTCTGGGTAAGAGAGCAGAGACAGCCCTTGACATTAAGTGTAAGGATGGCCTTCATTTGTTTAAAAAAAAAAACCAAACCCACACCCAAACTTACCAAGTAGGGAAGATCATGGTAAGTACTTAACAGATTGCATTGTGATCACCAATTTTTTTTTTTTATTTTAGTGGGTGTACTCTAGTTACCAGTATTTCAGTTAAAGCTCGTTATTAGCTTACAATAGTATAGATTTCACTCTTTTACCAAATGTTTCTTGAAGTATGAGCTGTCCTGAGAATCTCCATTAAGAATTCAAAGTTTTGGGGAGCCGGTAAGCTGTTTGGTTTAACGCATCAACTGCCAGCATAAAGTAATCTCTACACTTCAGGGGGAGGGGCTAGAGTTTTGCCCGCCTTGCCTGCCAGCAGCCAGGCACTTGCAGAGCAGCACAAGCTGCTCCCCCCGGCCCCAGCCCTGCTAGCGGCACCGGCCAGGGCTCCGGAAAGCTACGGGGCAGTTGGATGTGGCACAGCACTGCTGGTACCTCCAAGAGAGAAGCAGCAGCAAGACTCCCCCGGGACTGACAGCAAGCTGTAAGGCAGCCCGACAGCCCCTCTGTGACAGCCAGCAGGCTCAGAGATGCCACTCTTCATACCCCACCATGGCTACCGTTCCCTGCCACCAAAGAGCTGCTCTCCAGCAGGACACTGAGCTCCCAGGAGCTGGGCAGCTGCTTCGCCAAGCGGCTGGAATAGAGGACTGCTTTATGCTGGAAGTAAAGAGATGACCAAGACCCCTGGGGAGACAGACAGCCATCTAGGAATGGGGTTATTTGGAGCAAGCGGCATGGACTGAAGTGTCACACTGAGTTACCACGAGCCACGGCCTCTTCCCTTGGGAGGCTTTTTACGGTTTAATTTGCAAACAGAACTGCCATAAACCTCATTCACCATACCGTGTCTACTCAAATACAGATAGAAAGCCCAAGAGATAAAATGGATTTCATTGTGGAAGGCCTGAAATTACATTATTACAGTAGAAAATACAGGAGGTAGACTATAACTGAAAGGACAAATGCAGGTTAGAGTCCAATCTAGAATAGCTCCTGTAAGCTACTTAAAACATGGTTTTAAAAACTAAACCCAGTATTTCAGTAACTATAGAAAACAGTTAAAATAAATTGCCATGAGAGCCCTTATATCATGCTTGACACAGGGAGGTAGGAGGTAAGAATCAGGAGGACACATGAGACGTGACACTTATCTACAGCTGCTGTTTGCTTTACCGAGGACAGAGTTTCACAGGTCAGTCACCCTCTTCAGCTTCAGACTCCGACTCTGGAACACAAAGACCACCACGTCAACAGGCTGCCAGCAGGTCACCCCCTCCCAGGCCAGCTCTTGCCCTGCATCCTGCGTAACGGCTGCTATTGGATCCACATGGATTTCACTGGCAAGCTTTTCCAGGCAGTACCAGGGGGCACATCTAGTCTCAGAGGGGCAATTAACACCCTGCCTCCCCCCCCCAAGACAAAGCATTATTGCACCAAGGTTCCCAAAACGAACAAGCGCAACTTGGTGAGCTAAGCTGCTGCTTACCTTCTTCAGCATTCTTGAGCCACTCAACAAACTTTTTCATTTGCTCCAGAAAAACACTCTTGCCTTTTGCAAGATGCGCATCTTTATACCACTTCAGGATGGGTTCTTCACTCAGAACTTCAGCTGCAAGATGTACAAGAGCAAACCACTGAATACCAGCTGCTGAGAAGCCCTGACTGGCAGCCTTCGCTTCCTCCCCTAGAAGCACCACAATCCATACTCCTTCCCTGGGTGCGGCTGGACATACCTGCGCTAGGAGTGCCGCCTAGCTTCAAGTTTGAGCACCATGTATTGCAGATTGGCTGCTGGGGCTTTCCTGAGCGCTGCATCTAGGAGCTGCACTTTCCCTCCCACTAACAGTCTGAAGTGTTTCATAGTGGTTTGAGATGACACAGTCAGGAAAGCTTTAGTTAACAGCTAAGAACACCTTTGATCTTAACCTTTCCTGACACACTCAGGAAAGCTTCAGTTAACAGCTAAGAACAGATGCAAATTCTCTGAAGTCCAAAGTACACCGCAGAGAGTGTTTAATTGTTTTTTAAATTTTACAAGTACAAGATAATCTTCAGTTTAACAACAAGTTTCCTTGTGTTCTGCGGTGTTTCCACAGGTGCACAGCATGTTATTCAGTAACATCTTTTAACAGCTGTTTAACAGAGAGCCTAGAGCACCCCAGAACACCTCAGTGGTCTCAATCTCTGGCTATTCACAGTGTTCAGACAAAGAACTAAGGAGAATACAGTATCGTGTATCTTTGCTAACTTAAAAAGCCAAAGAGCCTTAAAAATCTAAATTCAGCTTTGATTACCACAACTCTTTAAGCCTACAGAGCGGCAGCATCCTTATCTAGAGGAGTACTTCCCCACGTGCCAAGGATAGCTGCATCCACCTTTGCATTTTACTGCTCCATCTTTGCAAACAGAAGGGGGAAAATTCTTCAGCTTGCGAAGGGCAATGCTGTAGCACTGATCTTCCCTAAAGGTCTTTTCAGGACTGAAGCATTGCGCAAATACAAGCTTTAAAAAAAAATGACCAAAGAGAAACAACCCTCCAAGCCCCCCACTCCCCACAAAACCCCAGAAGTTACCTTTATAGAACAGCACCACTATTTTCTGGAAGGCCTTCATGAAGTGAATGTTGTCGTAACAATACTCCTGAATCTTCAGCAGAAGAGTCAGCTCTGACTGACCTTGGGTAGTAAAGGCAGCAAGGAGAGGGCTGTATTGCTGTTAACAGGAACAACGAGTTGGCACACACAGAGCACCTCACATTTATCGCCTGACTGGACTGGTTTCACACAGTTTCCGTCAGCCACTGCTTAGAAATCTGCAACCCGCACCCCACCCCAGAGTGCTTCTGCAGAAATCCTACTGCTTTTGTCTCAGTAACTTGGACTGTAATACCACAGTTACACAGGGGAGAATTCCCTGTCTAATGCTGTCTCTGCACTGGGGGGGGGGTTGTAGGTTTTAACTCATTTAAAAGGGAGCTGGAGACAGAGGGATGCCCAAGCCCTACCCAACGGGTGCAGAAAGCCCATACTTAAGTTACAATACCTTCAAGTGCTTAATGGCTTGCTCTGCTACCAGCTCCTCCTTCTTGTTCCATTCCACCGTGCTCATTACACTTGACCAGATTAGGGCTACCACAGTCTGCTCTGAGATGTTATTTTTCTTCATCTCCTCCTTCACGTACAAGATTATCTGCCAGTTAGAATAAAAGAGTCAGCACATAGGCCACATATGACACTAAGCTAAATTAAAACTTCAGAATCACAAACAACTCCCTTGTTCACACCGCAGGATGCAGGACATCAAGGAAAGACTACGAAGCTAACACCAGAACACCCTGGTCCTAATTTTAATTCTTAGCGAGAGCTAGGTGTTTAAGTTCAGCATTTAATTAGGCATATTATCTTCTTCAAACTACTATTAAATGCTATTGTATTTCAGATAATCTGAGCTAAGTTCCTGCAGAAAAAAAAA